ATTTATCGTACTTCTGAAACTCGAGAGATGGCGCTAGGTATAAATTCTTAATTTATCGTACTTTTGAAACTCGATAGATAGCGCTGTTTATAAATTCTTAATTTGTCTTACTTTTAAAATTCAAGAGATGGCGTTAGTTATTAATTCTTAACTTATTCTGCTTAACTACATAACGAAATTCTAATAGTGTACTATATGCAATCATAATAATAATCATTGATTGTGAGAAATACAATATATAAAAAGTATTTATATAAAGTATCATTGAATTTATTCTTTAAAATGTTAAAAGTGAATGTATAATTTATAATGAGATTCTCTAGAATCCTAAACTATGTGAATTATGAAGCACAAAAATGTATTAGATAATAAATTCTGTACTACTCATCGATAAAACATTTATCGCAAAATTTTGATCTTAACTTTCGAATCCTTTTAAATATTTTTTTTATATAAAATAAAGTTTTTCACAAAATTTCAAGCTTTAGATTTCTAAAATATATCCGATTTTACCAATTCAAAATTCTTGAATTCATCACTTTAAATCTTAGAGGGCATATCAAAATCTGATTTTTTTTTTTTATACGAATGGTATTTCACAACATGAATATATTCTATGCAATAAAAAATCTATTTTGTATGTCATTATATAAATATAAGATCTAATTGGTCTATTCTTATCTTATCTATATATCTAGTATGTGAATTTGTCTATACCAATTTTATCTGAATAATAATTTTCACAATAATTCATAATAATTCTTAACTTGTATACTCCAATTGTATTTTCGAAAATCCTTATTTTCTTTTAATTTTGTTGATAACTTTGTTTAATCACGTAATTATTGAATCAATTTCTTTAAAGAAATGTTTTTAACATTCAAGAGATGGTGTTGGCAGTCAATTATTCTATATCTGTCAGGCTATTTACTCTTCTTATCCATTCTTGTTCTTGACAAATGATCATATAGGATATCAATTGAACATATTTTTATGATTTTTACTTCGAAATTATAATATATCTTAATTTTTAATATAAAAAATATAAAAAATTATATTTTTGTCTTTATAATAACTTTACAAAACGTAATATATTCTGATTTATAATGCTATCGTATCAATATACTAATTTGTTATATATTATTGTATATAATATCGATTATTATTTATATATTACTTTATATTTATATATATTAATTAATATTTATATATCATAAAAATTATTTCTCAATTTGTGACATTAATCTGCAATTATTGTCATGAATATATATACTTAACCTTATACTTACCTTACACCTAACCCTCCTGATGTTCTGATTATGTTATCTAAATTAACCAATACAGTATATACTTTTTAAATACAGTATATAATAGTTTCTATCGAGATTGTTCTTTGTTATAAAAATTGATGGTCCTGAGAAGGACCGATTTGTTATTTTTAAATGAATGAAAAGCAAAATTATGCTTTCTTCTCAGTTTTTTTAGGCAATAAGACTGCTTGAATATTAGGCAGAACACCACCTTGTGCAATTGTAACTCCAGATAAGAGTTTATTCAGCTCCTCGTCATTCCTGATAGCAAGTTGTAAATGCCGTGGAATAATCCTAGTCTTTTTATTATCTCTGGCTGCATTTCCAGCCAATTCTAAAACTTCGGCAGCCAAATATTCCATAACAGCTGCCAAGTAAACAGGTGCACCAGCACCAACACGTTCTGCGTAGTTGCCTTTACGAAGTAATCTATGTATTCGGCCAACAGGAAATTGCAAGCCTGCTCTATTCGATCGAGATTTTGCTTTTCCTTTAATTTTTCCACCTTTTCCACGTCCAGACATATTTGCTTCTCAAAATTATTTGAACGATATTATAAAATCAACGAAAATACTCCTTTCAATTGCAAACCAAAAGTGATGGCACAGGCCAGAATGCGTTCCCTTTTACGTATTATACGCGGGCAGCGCTCGACCTATCACGAGCCGCGTTACAGTTAGCAGCCTCTGATTGGTGCACTGCTGCTACACACTCACTGTTGCTGCTATGACACGACATAAATCGTATTTCGGTAGTTAATAATAACATGTCTTGGAAGCATCAGTAAGCTTTCTACCTGTCTATAAAATTTACTTAAATTTCCTTTTGGAAAATTTGAATCAATCTATGAAATGAAAACAATAGTTTTTATCATAAAAAAAGAAAATTAAATATTTTGGATATAAGATTCATTTTCGCTTTTAGAATTAAAAACATAATATATGACATATCTCTTCTTACAAAAATTATTCGCTCTTATATTTGTTCTTACGATCAAAAAACAAACTTAGAATAGATATAAAAATAAAGAAACTTAATGAGAAATTGAGAAAAGAAAAGAAATATTGAAATAAGTGTTTTTTTCGATAATCGAGTTGAAAGAATCAAATTTATAAATAGATAATAGTAATAATCAATAATTTAAATAATCGAAATTCATAATAATTGATTCAAATTATCCATATTATTTAATATAAATAAAAATCATTAAATTATATATATTATTTAAATTATTTAAATTATATTGGAAATAAATATAAAATATAAAAAAATAATATAAAAAGATGACATTGAAAATGTGAATATAATTATATTCAAAATATAAACATGATACAAAAAATTATATTCAATTTTTTCGACTGTTTTTTTGGTTACATGTACAATTTTTTTATTTATATGCTTTTTTGCAGAGATCTATTTTTAAAATAAATCTCATAATTGTCACTTCTACAACTTTTTTTGCAATATTCGCTATTTTAAATGTCAAATGATAGAACCAATTCGAAAATTAGGACTTCAGTTCTTTATTTTTTCATAAAATATTTAATTTTATTTAATTTTAATTAATATATTCAATAAGAAAAATAAAAAAAAATTTTAATTTAAAAACTTTGAGTTATTGTAGCATTATTTAGTACAAAACTTACACAAAATCCTCATTATTTTTCAAAAAATTCAAATAATTCTTTTTGATATTAAAGTTCTTCTTTATATACATATGAAAACTAAATTTTAATTTTTCAATTCAATAAATTTAACGTACTTGAAACTTTCTAAGATTCCTCAATAGATGTCGCAAAGTACAACACAAATACATTCAAATAGTCGGATGTACACCCTTCCCCCTCTCTATATGTTGGCAACAACTAAATATTTTTTCGTATTTTCTTATATAATACTATATACAATAATTAATAATATTAGATAATTATAATTTTATATTAAAAAAAATAATTGAATAATTTAAAACTTCTGAAAATTAATTATAAAATATCTCTTGTTACTAAAATTATTGCTAATACAAAATAAATATAAATAATTATTTAAATTGATTAATTATAATTTCTGTATTATAAAATTTATCTAATAATATTCATTAAATTATATCAAAAAGTCATGATTTCAATATTATATTTCTGCATATCAACAGTAACACTCTTCCCCCTCCAGTATGTGCTCAACCAATCAGGAGTTTCCAACCGAGAATCGCATAGCATAAAAAGTGGAAGACAGGAGCGCTGGAGCGCATTTTACGTTTTACAATTACGTTGAACGCGTCGTTGGAAGTTTCGATTAGAAACAATGGCTCGTACCAAACAAACTGCTCGTAAATCAACTGGTGGAAAGGCACCACGTAAACAATTGGCCACTAAAGCTGCTCGTAAGAGTGCTCCTGCTACCGGTGGAGTGAAGAAACCTCATCGTTATAGACCTGGAACTGTAGCGCTTCGTGAAATTCGACGATATCAAAAAAGCACCGAACTTTTAATCCGAAAATTGCCATTCCAACGTTTGGTTCGTGAAATTGCTCAAGATTTCAAGACAGATTTAAGATTCCAAAGCTCTGCTGTCATGGCTCTTCAAGAAGCCAGTGAAGCTTATCTCGTTGGTTTATTTGAAGATACCAACCTGTGTGCAATTCACGCCAAACGTGTTACGATCATGCCGAAAGATATTCAGTTGGCTCGCCGTATTCGTGGAGAAAGAGCTTAAATTGCAATTTTTTTGAAAAAAAACAATCGGCCCTTTTTAGGGCCAAAATTTTATTTAATGTGGCAACTCTATGTTCTTATTTATACTTAAAAATTGATTAATGTATTAAAATTTTTCTATTTTTCTATTCCATACTTTAAATAATATAATATAAAATATATAGTATATATAAAATAGAAATAATAGGAATAAATACATTTTTTAAATATTAGACGATCAACTTGAATAATTCGATCTTTACTATTCGATTTTCAATTTTTGTTCATAGCAATAACAGTGCTCTACTGATTTAAAATATTAAAAGATTTAGAATTCATATAGATAATAATATTTATAGGTTTTTGATAGAGAATATATTCGTATATGTTTTCAGGTACGAAATCTTTTCCTGTTGCACAAAGCATTTGTATATATTATTGATATATATCGAAAATATTCTTCATTTTCTAAGAAAAGATTATACAAAAAACAAGTTAATTTTTCTTCCTAATATTATAAAATATGAAATATTATAAAATATTTTATTTATTGTAGTAACAGAATTATGAACATTTTTTCATTTTTGAAAAATTTTAAAACTATTGATGTTATTATTGTATGATATAAATATTTTTTTTATCTTTCTTGGTTCGATATTAAACAAAGTATTTTAAATAATCATATTAAATTACAAAGTTTTAAGCATTTAAATATTTGAAGTGATGATGGTCGCATATTTTCTTTATACAATTTGAGGTTAAATGAATCACCACATTTCAATTTACTAAACAATATAATAATAGAAAAGAAGTTTGAATACATACAGAAAAATAAAGCAATCTTCACTTATATGACATAGATAACTACAACAATAATATAATCGATGTTAAACAATTTAGGATATTTGAAAATTCCTTCAGACATATAAAGAAATATTATATTCAAAGAATTGGAAAACAAAAATTCATAAAAAATACATTCAAAATAAATTATAAATTTAATATATATTTTAAATTATATATTTAATATATATATTAAACTATTATAATAATAAAAAAATAAACGATCTATAAATATAATAAATATAATATATCAAACTCATATACATAATTTCCACAGTATTCAATGGGAATTTTTTCTACTAATCCCAAAAAATTCATTAAATTTAAAATTCATAAAGCTTTATTAACATTTAATTTCTAAAATATTATACATTATAATATATAATTCATATTAAAAAAAATTTCTTAATATATTATATGAAAACATTTAAAAAAGAGATCAAAGAAAAAAAATTTCATTAAACATTTAATATTCAACATTTGATAAAACATTCAACTACTGATTAATAATATTAATCATATAGTATACATTTTATTTCAAGTCATTCACAATTTTCAAGACATTGAAGTAAGAAAAAAAAATCATTCACAACAAGGTTTCATATTTGGAAACATTAAAAGGAAACCATTGAATTAACCTAAACAAACAAAATAAGACAAAGTATAAAGAGAAATAGTAACAGTATTCTTGGTACATCAAAACTACAAACTTCAAAACATACTATAACCTAATACTGGGCTTATTGAATCAATCTACACATACATGCTAGTAATAGTAATAAAAGCAATACACATTCCATTCAAAGTCAATTCTATATTAGAGAACGTAAATGATTTAAAATATATGATTTTTATTTCATTACCAAAAGAAATTTATAATAATTAATGAAAAAATCGAACTAAATAACTTCATATATAACATAATACAGTTCCGAATGATATGAATTATTGAACAATGAATGCAGTAAATATTTTATAATATATAGATAATATCATTATATGTCTATAATAGAAGGAAAGATTCCTTCGCTTACCGTTAATTGTTTAAGAGTTCCCGATCCATTTTGTGGCATTTCTTACTCTTATTATAACAACCAACCACTGAAAATAAAAAAAATAAATATATTGATGATATTATATACATAATTATTGTTTATAAGATTACAAGCTGATTTTTTATTATATTTTTATATCAAATTTATATAATATATTATTTTTATCAAAAATATGAAAATAACAAAACTGTCTATTATTTTGTATATAAATATCACTATTTAAAAATTTATATTTTTAATGAATATTTACCTACCTAAAATGTAAAAAATTTGTGGAATTTTTATATTTTATTAAAATACAGCGAAGAATAAAATTATTCAAACAAAAAGTTTATATAAATGTGCAAAATATATTCCAAATATATATATATTTTTTTAAATGATGTATCATAATAGACAAATTCAAATATATATCTGTAATAAATCTTTCCAATCCTAGATATGATATGCACTAGAAAAGACAATACATTTCAAAGAGTGTATTAGATTTCTTTCATTTTGATTTTTTCATTCATTATATAATCTGACAAATATAAAAGATAAAATATAAAAACCTTTTTATATTTTATAAAAATAATTATCTACTGAGATAATTATTTAAAAAAATTATTCAATAAAATTTAATCATTATTATTAAAATTCTAAGAAGTTTAATTATCAATTATTAAAAATTTAATTTTTCATTTATAAATAAAAAATTAATATTTTTTAACATAATAAAATTTAACATAATATTTTTAATATAATTATATATTTAATTTTAATTAAATTTTGAAAATAACATAATATTAAAATATTTTTAATATAAAAAATAATTATTTTTATATTTTCTTTTCATATGTGTACTGTGAACCATGCAACATCTGCTATTTTGGCGGGAATCGGTCGATAGCTTAAGGTAGGGGAGCAGTTGTGCAGCACTCCTCCGTTAGATTCCCTAGCACTATCTCCAATGTACAGCATGGCTAGAAACATTGTAGTTTAAAATTCACCATCTTTTTTCTAGTTCTATATAAAACTCTAAATGTAACTTGAAATATATATCTTATAAACATGCAATGCAAAATAAAATTTATGTATATACACAATATTTTTCCAAAACTATATTATAATCAACACATTCAATTAGATGTGTCTTTATCATATTCAAATAAATAAGTTAATCGAATTAAAACTAAATTCAACTGAAGTAAGTTACTCTCGTATAAAATAGTTCGTGATAATTAATTTGTTCGTAATAAATAAAAAATAGAGATTGTTCCTCGTATGAAAAGATTTAGTGGCCCTGAAAAGGGCCATTTGGATGTAGTGGATAGTATTTAAAAATAATTATTTTTTTGCTGGTGACTTGACTGTTTTTGGTGCCGCAGCTTTCTTCGGTTTAGGAGTCCTGGTTTTAGCTGCTGGTGCCTTAGCAGTCTTTTTAGCTTTCGACATGCTTTTGGCCTCAGAAGCAGCTTTAGGTTTTGCTGCAGCTACCTTCGATGCGCTCTTTTTTGCTGGTGCTGGTTTCTTTTCGACAGCAGCTTTCTTTGGTGTTGCTGGCTTCTTAGCGGGAGCAGTTTTCTTAGAAACAGTCTTTTTTTCGACCCACTGTGTCTTTTTCGGTACAGATTTCTTTGTTGGATGCGGAACTTTCTTGGTCTTCGAACTCTCAGAATTCTTTCCGGTAGAAAGCTTAAAAGATCCAGATGCTCCTTTGCCTTTTGTTTGAACCACAGTGCCAGATGTCACGGCGGATTTCAAATATCTTTTGATGAACGGGGCAAATTTTTCCCCATCGACTTTATAAGTGGAGGCGATATATTTTTTTATCGCCTGCAAAGACGATCCTTTGCGATCCTTTAACTCCTTGATAGCAGCGTTAACCATCTCAGAGGTTGGAGGATGAGATGCCTTCTCACGTTGTGCCTTCGATTTGCTCTTTGATGGTTTCTTCGCCGGAGCCGTTGGATTTTCAGCAGCTTCGACTGCAGTACTGCCAGAATTTGCTTTGTCTTCCATTTTTGTGGAATTACTTCAACAATAACGGATAAAAAGTTTATACAAAGTGCCTGGAGGTAGCTAGACCAACAATGATGCTCTTGCTTTAATGGTAGTTAGCTTTGGCTGTGAGCGGTGTTCTTTCTTAAGCGCGGACCATGGAGAGAGTCCTACCCAATATGTCGGATGCCGCGATTCCATGACAGCGAAGAAGCGGTAAATATACCTTTACTTTTGTGCTTTGTTTTTCTAAATTACATACGTGTTAATAAGTAATCGTTGTGCAAAAATATAGCTGCGTGTGTGCACTTTTATATACTTATTGATTTTTATGTATATTCATCCGTTAAAGCAAAATATTGCGCCGTTCAACGAAGTCCGTCTTTTCGAAGCGATAGAACATCGTGTAGAAAAAGTTAAAAATCTAAACATTTACGCGAAAATTGACATGATACTTATATAGAAAATTGTAAAAAAAGGACTGCTGCTAATTTATATTCAATCATTTGTATCCAACTTACAACGGATACTTAAAAAACTTACTTGATATTCGATCGCTTAGTGATGTATAACATGAACCACGAATGTTCTATCGTTGGATTAATATCAATTCCCATGGATGTGTGAAATATTCCATTTATGTATCTAGAATTAATTTTTATTACATCTTTCATATTTTTAATATTCTGAAATGAGATTTGATGACATTTACTTTTATTTAATTGTTTTTATTTGCTGTTCTTTTTCTGATGGAGATCGTGATAGTATGTACAAGGAATCTGTGATTCAGAATATTACTTATAAGTACTAATTTAAAAATATTCTTATAAAATTGCTTATTTTATGTTTTAATTCATATTATTATAATTTAAATTTGAATTGAAAAATTTAATTATAATTTTATATAAAAATATAACAGTTTTATATAAACAGGGAATGATATTATTTTCTTTCAGAATAGTACTTGTAGGTAATTTTATATCATATGTATGTGTTTTATAACACTTCTATTATAAAAATATTAATTCTTATACAATAGTATTAATTAATAATATTAATTAATAGTTTGTTAAAGTATATCTTTCATTTAATTTTATTTTTCTATCATAATATTATACTTAATGATATAGAATATAAGTCTTAAAATTATAAAGAAACTACATAATTTTTTATTGTTAATAATTTAGTCAAAAAAGTGTATAATTTCTTTCATGTAATTATTTTATATTGAAATATAATGATCTTTTTTTAAATTTATTTATATTATAATATATATAAAATTGAAAAAAAATATTAATGCGTTTTGATAATATATACATATATAATTCAAAAAATAATATTATAGTACAGTAAATAATTTAGAACAATGACAAATTTTCATAAATATTCAATTTATAAAACATGATAAAAAAGTTTGCGATCAGAGTCCGAACTTGAGGGAGTTGTATAAACTACAGGACACGTCATCATTGATTCGCTTGTTGAATTAGGAAGAGAATCTTCTATATTCTGTGCTTCAGAAAAAGATAATACAATTTCTAAGTTGAATATTTCATTTAAGCATTAAATAGCGTGTATAATGTGTAAATATTTATATTTTTACTATTTTTTTTTATTTATGAATTATTTTTTTATACAATTTTCTTTGTATATCAATTTGTTAGTTCATCAAAAAATTTAAGCATGGAGGGCACGCTAAAGTCGTAGGTTCTGACATCTGGCGTAAGAAATTTCTACTTTTAATGCTAAAAATTTAAAATATAAATAACATATAACTAAAAAGTTATTATAAATTTATTTTATAATTTTTTAGACAACTTGTATCATTTAATAATTTTTTATTATTATATTTATTGTGTACGAATAAACTTTAATCTTGTCTACCAATCAAATTTCATGTTGAGAAACGACAGTAGAACCATCTATACAGAAGCCATTATTATAATAGTTCATCAATGATAGGATTTCAAAATAAGTATCAATATTAAATAAACTTCATACATTAACTAACAAATTTAAATTACATATATTTTTTTAATAAATAATATTTTTTATGAACTAGAAATGTATTACAATTTTTTTATACAAAATTATAGTGAAATTAACCCTAAGTAATATTGTATAACTTAAAAGTAACATATATTTTGAAAAATTTTATTTTGTCTATTTATTATTGTGCTATGTATTTCATCAATTACTAATATGAGGATAATTAAATGACTTATGAATAATATTATAGTTATTAGTTCATAGATTTTAAATTAAATCAATTAATTTAGAATCAATTTTAATCTTTTCTTTCGTAAGTAAATAAAATTCTACTTACAGAAAGTTAATATTTCTAATAATTTTTAATTTTCTTTTTTTAATTATAAATCGAAATCTAGTATTCTAACCTGAAATTTTACTTGATGGAATGGAGGTTATACTAAGAATTATTATTAAATTTATATTAATTGCAATAAATATAATGCTTTTATGTTTTTGGCAACTATTCTATAAGTTTTTCAATGATGGTATTCATCTATTTTTGTAATTTCTATGAATTCTTTGTAAAAAATATATGAAATATTAGAAATTAAAGTATTTAGCGAATTTACATCATTGATCGTGACATCGAATGTTCCTCATATGAACTGCGCAAGTCAAAGCACTGCAAAACACCGCGGAAAACAATTAGAAAAATGATTTAGATATTTTCTATTAATTTTTATTATATTTACAAAATGATTCATTATGACTAATAAAGTACTCTACTATTTTAGAATGAAATAATTCTATTTAAATTTTGAAATATTCTACGAATGATATTTTCAATACATATAAGAGTATAATTTTTCAATTATTCAACACATTTTATCATTATTATTTAGGATTCAATGGAAAATATTCGGGTTAAAAAATATTCAATGAGTTATAACCAAGTTGTTTAACGTTATGAGAATATTGTTGGCCCTGAGAAGGGCCGATGATTTATAAGACGCTGCAGCGTTTATTTTGAACTGGTGTACTTGGTGACGGCTTTAGTACCCTCAGAAACAGCGTGTTTAGCCAATTCACCAGGCAACAGAAGTCTGACAGCAGTTTGGATTTCCCGAGAAGTGATGGTAGATCTCTTGTTGTAATGTGCTAAACGTGAAGCTTCAGCCGCAATACGCTCAAAAACATCATTTACAAAGCTGTTCATGATGCTCATGGCTTTACTGGAAATTCCAGTATCAGGATGAACTTGCTTCAACACCTTGTAGATGTAGATAGCATAACTTTCCTTCCTCCTCCTCTTCTTTTTCTTATCAGACTTGCTAATATTCTTCTGAGCTTTACCAGCTTTCTTCACAGCTTTTCCGCTTGCTTTAGGTGGCATCTTCGCAACTTGATCGTAGACTTGAAATGCACTCGACTGTTGTGAGAATTCAAGACTGAATGTCGGAACGCAGTGGAGGCGCGCTATTTAGCTTGAAACGTGGCACCAGCAGCGCACCAATCACGTGCGAGCTGGCGCGCCATTGGTCGGTTTGAGTTCGTAACGGCTGGCTTATAAAGAATACGTTTTTCCTGTAAGCGGCATATTTCTCTCACGTCTGTTCGAGTGCATTTGTGGTACTTCTTACTCTAAGTTCACGCAAAACATGTCTGGCCGAGGTAAAGGTGGTAAAGCTAAGGGAAAGGCGAAATCTCGTTCCAACAGAGCTGGTTTGCAATTCCCTGTTGGTCGTATTCATAGACTTCTTCGTAAAGGAAATTACGCAGAACGTGTCGGTGCAGGAGCACCAGTGTATTTAGCAGCCGTTATGGAATATTTGGCTGCTGAAGTGTTGGAATTGGCGGGAAATGCTGCTCGTGATAATAAAAAAACCAGAATTATACCTCGTCATCTTCAACTTGCTATCCGTAATGATGAAGAATTAAATAAATTACTTTCTGGAGTAACTATTGCTCAAGGTGGTGTTTTACCAAATATTCAAGCAGTTTTATTGCCAAAGAAAACTGAAAAAAAAGCTTAACCATATAAACATCGATATAAATGGCCCTTTTTAGGGCCACAATTTTTTAAAACAAAGGAATTTCTCATCTGATTCATAATTAAATAGAATACATTTTTATATAATAAAAAAATAAATAGAGAACTATAAATAATCTAAAGATATATTATTCAAAGAGAGAAACATATTTAAGATAATTATCGAAAACAATCTGATATAGAAAGTTTCATAAAATCATTTTTAATATAATAAAAGCCATGTCTATATTTTTATATTATTGACTACAATTTAAATCATACATATCTATTTTTAAAAAATCTTATCCAAATTTTTTTGTGAATATAATAGTTTCTAATACAAAACGTTGATTTCATATTTCGATTTATGTTTATGTAGTGTATATGTTGATGTAGTTAAACAAATTTTTTGTCAAATTAAATATAATTGATAATATTAAATGATAAAATTTTATATTATAAGTCATTTTATAAATTATATAAGAGTTAATATAATCATAGCAATCGTAAATTATCAAAATAAAATCCGATAACATGATATTTATATAGAAGTATTACAATGTATAATTATATATTATATAATATATGTTATATAATGTAATATTTATATTATATTATACAGATATTTACATTATAATTATAATGTATATGTATATAATATAATATATTATCATCTTTCTTTTTTGTCTAATTTATTAAATAATATTTGCAATTTCTTTTATATCTAAAACTAGTTTTTTATATCTAAAAAATATTAGATTCATAAATTGCAATATAAAATAATATTAAACATTTTTATTATTTTTTACGCGTTGATCATTATTTTATAAAAAATGATCCTCGCTTTATCATAATACCATAATAATACCAATGATTTTTTTGAAAAATTTTAATATTTATAATATTCAATAGCTGCTTTTTCATAAATAATTTCATAATTTTTTATTTTTATACTATTTTAATAAATTTTCGTCTTAAATTTAATTGTTCTATATATCTTTAAAATTTATTTCATTTATTTTTTGAAAAATAAGTTCATTCATTTTGTTTCAATATAAAATTACATTTTATTCTATTTCTTCTATATATATTTGGTGTTTTTTTTTATTTTAAATGAAATACAAACCGTGAATTATAAATTTTTATTTTATTTTGAGGAATTTTAATTTATGATCCATTAATTTTAATAAGAGAATTTAGGATTATAAAAAATATATACTATAATTTATAAAATTAAAATTATATAATATAATTTATAAAATTAATAAATTATAAATTATATATAATATAAATATATTAAACATGATAATATAGATGATTATAGGAAATAGAAAAATTGAATAAAATATTTTCTAAAATCTAATTTTATTTTTACTTTTGAAAATCTTTTTATTATTAATGAATATTATTAAAGATTTATAAAAATTATACTTTAAAAATTATACATTCAATTTAACAATTCAAGAACTTCATGATAGCTAGGAATAAAAATAAAAGAAGGGATAGGTATAATATTCAATAGAAGGTCTGGTTTCGTACATAAAAGAACATGGAGCAGATGTTCGACACAGATGTTCTTTTCTCTGTAGGGGGAACGAACGTTATATATCTAAAATTGCAGAAGATTTGAGTAATATACTAATTCACTACAATTTTATTATAAAAAATTATGATAAATAAGAAAACTGTAAAAAAAAATTTTAAAATATAATAAAAATAACAAGAAAATAAACATTAAATATTGAGTAAGAGCAAAGACTTGAATATCGTATCTAAAAAAAACTCACGTAAATATTCTGTCAGGAATGAAGGTCTATAGCTACCACTAAGTATTTGAATAATACATAACTCTAATCATGAATTCTAAATTTTCCTATAGAAAACTATTGTTGCAATGAAAAATAAAAATCGAAGATTATTAACTCTCGATTCTATATATTTGAATAATATTTAAAACATATTATTAATTAATATAAATATATCGATTGTATAATATAGGAAATTATTTTTTAATAAATAAAATATATACATTTCTATAAAAAAATGAACATCGAGTTGCCACATTAGAAAAAATTTTGGCCCTAAAAAGGGCCGATTTGTTTTTAAAAAGCTACAATTAGGCTCTTTCTCCACGAATACGACGAGCCAACTGAATGTCCTTCGGCATGATTGTGACACGTTTAGCGTGAATTGCACACAGGTTAGTATCTTCAAATAAACCAACGAGATAAGCTTCGCTGGCTTCTTGAAGAGCCATGACAGCAGAACTCTGGAATCTTAAATCTGTCTTGAAATCTTGAGCAATTTCACGAACCAAACGTTGGAATGGTAATTTTCGAATTAGAAGTTCGGTGCTTTTTTGATATCGTCGAATTTCACGGAGCGCTACAGTTCCAGGCCTGTAACGATGAGGTTTTTTCACTCCACCGGTAGCAGGAGCACTCTTACGAGCAGCTTTAGTGGCCAATTGTTTACGTGGCGCCTTTCCACCAGTTGATTTACGAGCGGTTTGTTTGGTACGAGCCATTATTTCTTTAAACGAAACTAAAAACTTGCATAGATGCGTTCGATACGAAGATAAAACACAAAATGCGTTCGAGCAAGAGAACGCTTCCCCTTTTATTGAGTACGATTCTCAGTTCGTACCTTCTGATTGGTCGAATGTCGAGTGGTGGGGAAACTGTTCTGCTGTCGGCATAAAAGCGCGTGCAAGCGAGCATTCGGCAGACATTGAGTTGTTGTTCATCGAGCTATACTGATCAAGTTTCACTATGACTGGCCGTGGAAAGGGTGGAAAGGGTTTGGGAAAGGGAGGAGCAAAGCGTCATAGAAAGGTTTTGCGTGATAACATCCAAGGTATTACCAAACCAGCCATTCGTCGTCTTGCTCGTCGTGGTGGTGTGAAGCGTATTTCTGGATTGATCTACGAAGAAACACGAGGTGTACTGAAGGTATTCTTGGAAAATGTTATCCGAGATGCCGTCACTTACACTGAGCATGCCAAAAGGAAGACTGTAACTGCCATGGATGTAGTTTACGCTTTGAAGCGTCAAGGAAGAACCCTTTACGGTTTTGGTGGTTAATTGGTGCTCCATCGCTGCATTTACAGAACAAACGGCCCTTTTCAGGGCCATCAAATTTCTTAAATGTATGGAATTCTCTCTATTTCAAATTGTTTATTATTATATCTTTATTATTATAATCTTTTGTGAATCGATGAAGTCGGTTTACTTGAATGAATTTTATTATTTCAATGTTCATATTTTTCTTATATTCAAAGATACCAATAAATATTTTTCTTATATTCTATATTTTTTTATATATCTTTTATATATCATTAATAAATAATATATATTATATTAAATAATATTATTTTGGTTTATAAACTTTTCTTAGAATAACGACGCATAATGCATTCCAAATATAAAATATCGTATGAATTACGATTTATAAAATTTACAACAAAATTTAAAACATTGATCTGAACTATATGAAAGCATTTTTATAAAATTATCTTTACTTTGTATAATATACGTCTTAAAATATTTTATATTTTTCGAATAAAATTATTTTATATTTTTATATTTTGTTTTTTTTTTAATTATAAAAGCATTTATAATTTAGCCATTTTTTATTTATAAATGAATTATTGTTAGTTACAATTAATATTTTTTACATAAAATTAATATACACAATAACTGTAATCTTGTTTTCTAAGAATGTTATCAATAATATATGATTTTTTTATGATACATAATCTTGTTATATTTTTATCTCTATTATGTAGTATTGGGTGTGGCTATAATGAATAGTCGTTATTTATTACATATATTAATTTATTGTTATTACATATTAAACATTAATTAGAATTGATGTAGATAGTATTGAAAGCTGAAGATTAATAAAATAACTATCCTAAAATAACTATTTCTAAAGTTTTCATAGATTATAATTTTAACCAATCAGAACATATATAACTAAATTTTAGGTTAGGTTGAACATTTTTAAATATATATAAATTTATTCATTAGAATTTTATATAAATTTGTATAATTTTGTATATCATTTTTTGTATTTTTATTTAAAAATTTAGAATAATCATTTAAACAATATCTCGAGAAAAGTCGATTTAAATTAAGAAAAATATTATCGATTATTGAATATTTGAATAGTAATAGTGTTCTTTATTTGACAGCTAATACTTGTAGTAACGTTAAATAGATATTCATCATAATGAATAAATGAAATTAGTCTTTATGAATGAAATTAATTTCATAAGTTCCAACAATCCTTGCATTTATTATTATATGTAATTTTTTTCCGATTTATATAATATAAACTTGATTTGTACTGTCAGAGTTATACATATTTTCTTTATGATGTAGGTTATGTTCAAATTTGATATTATATTCAAAATTGATTTAAAAAGATTAAGAAATTATATTTTAATATTATATTCTTTTTTATAGCATATCGTTACACTAAATAATTGCTTACAATGTCAGATGACGAAGATTTAGTTTATGTTAAGAAACAAAAAACTGTTCATTATGGATCGCTTGAAGAAGCGGAGCGTGCTAGATTGGCCGCTGTGGCGGAATCCTCTGAAGAAGAAAAAGATACCACAACTTTGGGAGACAATGTCAACACTGTTGTTACATTGGCAAATATTCATATATCAAATGAATATATGGAATTGGAAGATGAAATGTCCAAAGATAGACAAGCTCTCTTAGAAGAATTTGAACGTAGAAAGAAAGCTCGTCAAATCAATGTATCTACTGATGATTCAGAAGTAAAAAGAAATTTAAGACAATTAGGAGAGCCTATTTGCTTATTTGGTGAAGGTCCTGCAGATAGGAGGACAAGATTAAGAGAATTATTAGCTAATTTAGGTGAAGATGCAATTAAGAAAAAACATGAAGAAGAGGAAAAACCTTCTCATCCAATTGAAAGGGATACAGAAACAACGTGGTATCATGAAGGACCAGAATCTCTTCAAATAGCACGTTCTTGGATAGCTAGTAAATATAAAATATTGTTATAATATATTAAAATTTTTTTTCATATCTTATTTTATATATGTGTAATATTTTTATTTATTTGATAGCATATTCATTGCCTAGAGCAAAAGCTAGATTGGACAAAGCAAGGCAGGATTTAGAATTGCCAACAGCCACACGTACAGCACGTCGTCAAGAACTTCTGAAAAAATTGCAAGCATTAACAATTTATTGTTCTCAAATTGGAGATACTAGACCAATTTCTTTTTGTCAATTCAGTCCAAATTCCAAAGTGCTTGCTACAGCTTCATGGTCAGGCTTATGTAAACTATGGTCTGTACCTGACTGTACTTTGTTAAGAACACTTAAAGGACATACTTGTAATGTTGGCTGCATTGTTTTTCATCCAAAAGCTACTATTACTGAAGAAGTGGTAGGAGAAAGAACTGGACAGACTTGTATATTGGCATCCTGTGCTTCAGATGGTATGTAGACTTTCTTATTACATAAAAAATTATAATACGAAATACAATAGAATTCTTTTTTAATATATATAGGAACTGTAAAATTATGGAGTGGTGGATTTGGAGAGGAACCTTTAGCTGAAGTTGAAGGACATGAACCACACAGAGTTTCAAGATTAGCATTTCATCCATCTGGTAGATTTCTTGGAACATGTTGTTATGATGCATCTTGGAGACTTTGGGATTTGGAACAACAAGCAGAAGTCTTACATCAGGAAGGTCATGCTAGAGCTGTACATTGTATTAGGTAAAATATTTAAAATCATAATATATTATATTTACGAAAGACAATTGTTCAATTTTTTGTTGATTTCTAGTTTTCAAGGTGATGGCAGTGTAAGTGCCACAGGTGGTCACGATTCTTTTGGTCGAGTATGGGATCTTCGTACAGGACGGTGTATTATGTTTATGGAAGGCCACTTAAAATCTATTTTTGGCATTGATTTTTCTCCAAACGGATTTCATATAGCAACAGCAAGTGAAGACAATACTTGTAAAATATGGGATTTACGAAAAAGATCTTGTGTGTACACAATACCGGCACATACAAACCTTTTATCAGATGTAAAATATCAAAGGATAGAAGGACAATACCTAGTCACAGCATCTTATGACAATACTGCTAAAATATGGTCGAACAAGACCTGGCAACCACTTAAAACATTACCAGGTCATGATGGTAAAGTTATGTCTGTTGATATTTCTCCCGATCATAGATTCATCGGGACTAGTTCATACGATCGAACATTTAAATTATGGGCACCCGAAAATATGTAAAAAGACTTCATTGAATAAAAAATATAATTTTAATTAAAGAAAAATGTATTTCAAGAAGGCATTTTTGTACTATAGGAAAAGTAAACATATAAGTAATAAACATATATTCCTTTTAGGTGACTCATCTTATTGACTTTCTTCTTTTCTCTTTTTTTTTAAACTGTACATTGCTTTACCATAATATATTTAATCGTTTCCGATAAGAAATATTTACTATACAATAACAAAGAAAGAGAATTCTTTAACTATTCATGAAATTATTCTTGTAAATATTGTGATCGGACTCTGTACTCAGAAGTTTGCTGTCCGATTGCAGTTTTGCGTCATTGGTGATAAGCATAATTATGCTTTTATTTTATTAACAAACTTGATGATAAATTTTCATAATAATCAAGTATTTAAATGTTTCTTCTTTCGATAAGACCTCATCTTGTATTTATAACAAATCTTTAAGAACGGTTTTATTCATATTTTTATAATCGAAAAGAAAAATTACAATGCAATAAAATTTAGGATACAAATACAAATTTATCGACGATATATTTGTATAATTTTAAATTAATCATACATATTACTTTGTTTTTATTTATCTTGAAGTTTTAGAACATTCTTTGGTTTATTAAAAAATAGGAAAGAATTATGTTTTGACGAATAGTAGAACATATTTTTCTAAAATTTCATTTCTGGCAGTACCTTTTCAAATAATACTCTATAAACAAAATTAGAATCACATAATAAATGTAATATTTATATCCTACAAATAATTGATGTATTTTTATTCGTTTCAATTAATTTAATAACATTAAACATTATTAAACTAATAATGATTTGTGTGCGCGTGTGTGATTCTTTTATCGAATTAAAGAATCTTCGCGAAAAATAAATGTCATTATTTTTTGTGGAATCTTACACATTTGCATTTCTATTTAGTTAAATTTCTAATTATTTTTAAGTATTTGAACGGTGAGTGATTAAAAGTTAAGAAAAAGATATTTGTGATCTATAATCTTAATCGTTTTGCGATCCAATCGAAAATAGAACGATTTTTTTTTGATGATTCTCCTCGATGTAAAATCTTCTGAATCACGAAAGCGAAGATTCCAATATCTATAGATTGTTTCGACTTAATTCATTCAGATTCATTGAGAGGTAAAGATTGATGAAGCCAAACCTCACCACCCTCTCCAAAATCTGCAGCTGCATGACCATTACCTTGTAATACCCATTTTGTAGTCAACAATCCATCCACTCCCACTGGACCGCGTGCGTGAATTCGTGCGGTGGAAATTCCAACCTATTGTAATAATTAGAAATTATAATATAAAAATTTATATTTTTTTTATTGAAAAACTGTATTCAAGAATATTTTGATTGATCTTTGAATTTATAATTCGTTTGATAATTTATGCTATTTTTTATTTAATAAGATATGAAGAAGAGTATAGATGCTATAGATCAATTAAAATCATAAAAAATATCATAAAATGATCATGGAAATTTTTTCATCATAATGAAAAAATATTTTTTACTGTGCATACATTTACACATTTTAGAGTCATCTCATTTTATAATATAATTTATCATTTCTTGAACTTATCGGGAATAATATTCTTATCTTGCTTATCAAGAAGTGTTAAAGTAAAAATTGTTTTCAAATAAAAAAACCTCATTCTTCCAATAATGATATGCTCTCGTTTATAAATACAATTTACTTTTATTATGGTTTAATTATATCAATGCGTCAACCATCTTGTATGCAATATTTCAGTCTCTTCTTCGATTTCTTTCTCTGCGAGTAAAAAATTTGTAAAATCAAAATTTTTTAGAAAGATCTTTTTTTCAAAAGATTTCGATTTCTCAAATCTTGAAACTTCTTATTTATTAAAATTTATTAAAATTTATTAACATTTTAATTCTTGATAAAATAGATGGATAGAAAAAAAAATTAAA